CAAGTTAACAAGAGAAACACACAAACGTTTATTAGGTGTAAGTTTTGCATGACATAAAAAAATGAAGACCTCAAGAAATGGTTTTACCTGTGTGCTAGGTTTGCTGAGCAGTGGATATGGTGGGGACAGGACAGGACCAAGGGCGTATGATCTAATCACGACACAAGGGTTTTCAAAAACCTCACGGAAATGCACATTGTGAAGGAACTATGCACAGAGTTTAAAACTTGCTGCACTCAAGATGATGTCTCAGTTCCATTTCTTCATAATTCTTTGAAGAGCCCTTGTCGACCGGGGCAAAGTTAGCCACGCCTATTTGTTCAGAGTCTTCTCGCTGTCCCAGTCTCTTCAGAGATAAGGATGTTTCTTTCCTCCAGGTCTGGGAAGTGCACCTCCCACATGAGGGTCTAATCATCTCCTGCAGGGGGAGATCAGGAAATTTTGCTCTGGTGTTCTGACCTGCTTCAGGGAATCCAAGCTTGGGAAGCCCGGAGACCTTGGTAACCCTAATGGTTTTCAATATGCCAAGGTGTCATCTTTTGCTGTATTGTGTCTTAGACCTCACCGGCTTCATTGTAGCATTGCTGGATTCCATGTCTCTCCGTCTGGGAACCTCCAGCCTTCCTGTTCCTAATTATGGAGAAATGTAGGGGTTCCTTGTATTACTGAAGTGGTGATACAAGGTGAGCTACTGTTGGCTTCATCAGCAACGCCCAAGTGAAGGCAGCAGCAGATTTCCATGAAAGAGCAGAAACTCTGCTTTGGATACGGTGGCCTTGAACTTCAAGGAAACCCTAGTGGCTCCAACTGGTCTAGGGTGGAGGAGGCAGGAAAACAAAGGGCTTTGCTGAGAATGAGAACGTGGGAATGCTCTCTGCCACATTCCTGGAGGGCAGTCGGGAGTTCAAGGGGAGGAAGAAGTGGTGCCTTTTGTATTTGCTCCCTGCCCTGCTGGGGTTGTGTCTCTTGGGAGCTCACTGGGCTCCATCCACAGTGTTACTGGAGTGTATCCTCTTGGCTCACATAACCTGGCTATTAATAGGCTCCTTCTCCACCTTATCTAAGACATTCTGTCTGTTGCTCAACAAGACCCAGACATGTGGGCCTCCTTTCAGCCTCTCAAACATGCCTGGGACACCCCCTTGCCCAGCCCCAGGCCCCATGCACAGAATCCCTCTTCTTGTTCCATTTGCACTTTGCATGCTGTCCCTTCCGAGAGCCCCCCGTGTCCTCCCTCTCTGGCCACCACTCCTTATCCTCCGTCACTACATAAAAAAGTTAGCTTCGTCGTAGGAGCAGTCACATTTTCTCATTCTATCCTTATAGACATGTTCTGATTTGTTTAAATGGGAAAGAACATACAAATCATTTCAGGTTGGTTCATCTACATATCCAGTAAATGGTCAATAAAAACCGTGTGGAATGAATCGTCTACTTCTGCCTTCTTGGAAGACCCTGGAAGCTCTACTAAATGTAATGTGTATTATATACTGGGTTTTGCAAACCTACAATGACAACATTGGGTTTTTCCCAAACTAATCACACCCACCAGAGGCTTTTATTCCGCTGAGCCATGCTCCTACCAAAAGAACACCACCAACAACAAACTCTACAGAATCATCGCTATTGGCATCTTCTGAGACATCTGAACGGAGAAAATCACTCCGTTCCACTAATGTAAGGAGGTCAGCTTTAGGACTTGCCTGGCTTTCATGCTTCGCTTCACTTAGCCAACAGCTAACACCTGTGCAATCCGCGTGTCGGCTGAGTTCACCCTGTTTACAAAAAATTACACTGAAACGAGTATTGTTTCCTCTTAAAGGTTAAATCCTCAACCCCACATGCTTTGAGGGGGCCAACACCCTGTCAAGGGTTTCTGAGAACTCCCTGAACTTTGTCCTTTTGGGGCCACACCTGGCTTGAGGCTGAAACCCCAGGGGCCCCTGGTTTTTTCCAAGTGCTGCTTCTTCCACCACACAGTGAACTGTGCTTGGGAATCAGCGCTGTCTGATTCCTTGAGGGATTTCTCCATTTTTCAGTCCTCACACAGTGCATTCACATTTGGAACAGCCTCTTCTTCCTTCAAAAGCTTTTATTATTATTATTATTATTATTATTATTATTAGAGACATACACAATACATTAACACTGCTTTGCTAGGCATACTTTTAACTTCTATGATAGCATCTTGATTTTTTTAGTCTCTGCATATGAGTAAAAGACATTTTTTTTAAAAAACAATCACTTGAAAAAAAAATACGGGTGTTTGAGTCACTGTGTTGGGGGCTTCCTGTGGACCGTTCTCCCACGTCTGCTCCGTCACGTGCTCAGGCAGAGTAGTCAAGGGCCTCTCCTGCAGACTCATTCCTGT